TGAGTAACTGGCGTCGCGCTCTTTCCCTCTCTCCCTCTCTCTTTCTGTCTTTGGCCGTTTTCAAGGAAATGCAATGGGAAAGAAGAGAAACGCAAATGCTATAGGAAGCTTGCAGTTGGTGAAAAGACTTGCACAACTTGTGGAAAAGTCGGAGCTGCGCCGTAAAACGTGTCATTTGATGCAGCAGGGAAAAAGGTAAGGCAGTTGCTATACTGTTTATTTTTTATCGTGCTATAAAATCTACACTCTTTTGATGCCGTTGCCTGCCTTTACTCAACAAACAATTTACGATTGATAATAAATCATTGCTGAGATCTGTACCAGTGCCAGTTGTGTGCCCCGAAAGTGAACCAAAATCAAATGGAATCCTGATGCACTAATTCATTTTTTATTAACGCCCCAGGGCAAGACAACAAGACGAAGTCCACACATACATATATATTTATAATCAATAACAAGGTTCGACTGCTGGCACAGTTGGAAATCAGGACACCAATAAAAAGTGAACAACATTTTAGGCTGGGAACCAGAATCTCATCTAAATAAAAATTTATTTTTATTTTTGATGTTTATATGACTGCGATAACTGTGAGTCACATTTACGGCGAGTCCGAGTCAGGGACTACACAAAAGAGAACAATATGATGGGTCCTTACGGCCAGCGCATTGTCTGCTGTAGGGACAAGTATATTGAGCAGGCTGCAAGCTACTTGGCTGTGATAAATTGCTGGCAAGACGCCAGAGATTGTTATGAACTGTTTATGCCCAGCTGGGCAGCTGAGGGCAAACGCAACGCCCGCCAATTAATAGAGGGAGGACTATCTATTCGTGGTGGCAATGTGTACAGTTGCTGAGTCTGCATCTATCAGAGCTCAATCAAAGTCTTTTCACACCTTCGGGCAGCTTATCGCACGTATCGATCGATCGCAGAGGAGGGGAAAGCAGTCCCGAGTCCCGCGTCCCGCATTGCCGCTGGATTGCCAGCAACCATAACAATCGTATTAATCGTGCAATAGTAAATTAATGCAAAGCATTGTAAGGCACGACACGATTCCTGTTAGTAACGCTGATTAGGATCTAGCCAGGGCCTCACGCACACCGCACAAGGATCTACACACACATTAATGTGTCAACATGTGCGATAAGTCTGCATCCAGAGAACAGAGAACAGTGAACAGAACACACAGTAGTTGTCGCTGCTCGCTGGTAGCTGGTAGCCCACAAATACAAATAATTCTGATGTCTAGTTCCTGGTAGCGAGATAGAGTGTACAAAAGATACGATAAGGATCACACACACTCACACACATACGGTTCGTGCGAATGTCACAGCGACCACAAAAATGTACGCATAATGAGTGTAGAGAGTGAGGAAGAGATCTGCCGGCAGCCAGAAGCCAGAAGCCAGAAGCCAGCAGGATTTCAGCGCTCAGATATCAGAGAGAACTCCCGTGAGCGCAATTCTCAAAGTCATAAACAACATTTTTTTCACTCTCAATTTTTAATGCTGCCGTTTGGCATGCTACATAAATCTTTTGGGGCAGGACATGTGCTTGAGGAAAATTTCATATGATTTTTATTGCAATATGCAAATGGTTTGTTTGGCTCGATTTCCATTCTTCAGCCCGGGCTGACCTTCAACCCCTCCGCGCTCAGAGCATGCGGTTGACCGCATTCTTAACGGCTCTGCCTCGCAGCAAAGGGTTGCATTCAGCTCTAATCATTTTCTTGCTGTGCGCTAACAACTTGATTAGAGAAACTTGCCGTACATTATTCTTGATTAAGTCACATTAATTATGATAATGATGACGACTGTCTCGAATCGGAAAAAGAATCTGGCCCGGGGTTTTTCTAAAGCGACGCGGGCAATTGAAACGGGAACAGGATATTGTTTGACTTCAAGGTCCAGACAATGCAGCGACGTGTGCGCGAATAAAAAATGAGCAGAGCGGCAAAAAACGGCCATAAAAGCAGAGAATAGAGAAGCAAAGAATTATATGTGTGTGTGTGTGTGTGATAAATGTCAACTTCCTGCTCAGCATCCGACACGCCTCAACTGCCCTAGCTGACTGGCTGACTGGCTGACTCGCTGATGACTTCATCAGTAGGCCATCTAGATTATATACGGAAGTTATCTAATAACGGCTGACACTTTTAATCCTTTTATGAAATTAATCAAGTGTGGCCATGAAAGATCAAAAAAGTAAAAAATAAAGGAAACGCTGAAATGGGCAGCTGCTAACTGCAGATGCAATTGACTCTATTGAGTTTGGCAATCGTTAAGACTTGGCTAAATGTTAACGAAAAGAGAGAGAAGGGGAGAGAGAGAGAGTGGCCGATAGAGGGTGGCATAAATATATCTTGCAGTGAAAACCTTTGTCAAACTCCTTCACTTCCTCACACAGTTTTCGAAGCTAGGCTTTGACAATACGTGGTACAAAAAAGAGATTGAAAATGGCAGAGAGTATAGCAAAAGTGGTGGATCGCATACACATAAAGATATCCAACGGTTGCTAAATACATAAATTGAAGTAAAAACCTCATTCACTTCTCCACAGTGGCACTCAGAGGTCAATAGCCAAGCGAGCATGTTACAAATTGATTGATTAAATGCAATATAAAGATTAAAAAATGAAGAAAAGTCATAAAATGCAATTTCAATTATTCAACTCACATGATAAGCGAGAGACATTCATAAATTAACCATAAGCCAGACGAAAAATTGAATGAAAAAAACAAAAAATAAATCAAGTAACGAAGTTAAAAAATTTATGGACATTCATTGATCAGTGCATGAAATTTTATGCTTTATGTTGTGTCGTATGTGATTTCCGTTTTGGAACTGCGCTAGGTGGGCTAGAGCGATCAAAACGAAGCAACGACAAGAGACGGAAAGAAGAAGAAAACTAACTGAAAATCAAACTAGAAATGCAGTCTGCATACTAAAACAATAAAAAGAACAGTTTTTCCTTGGCAGCTGCTCGACACAGTGGGCACTCGCTATAGATAAATGACAAATGAACTGAAGCGGATCAAGAGAGCGACTACGGACAGTAGGCAGAAAGTTGTCAAAACAAATGGCTAAAGGCAAAACGGATCAACTGAAGGCAACTCATCTCAACTCATCTCAACTCATCTCAACTCATCTCATCTCATCTCTCGTTCAACAATAACAATTCGAAAACAGTTGCCGAAAAGGTGCAAAACTACTTGAACTAACCGTTGATGTTTTATGCCATCCTTCGAATCATTAATCATGGATCATCATGCAAAAAAAAAAAAATAGAGAACATCAGGAATAGTTAACGCTTTGCTGAACAAGCGACACACAGAGCTGAAGTCGACTTAAATTGGGCAGCTTCTTGGGTTTACAGTTTGATCGATTTTGCAGAGCTGAACACCTAAATGCCCACTTCAGAGTTTCCATTGATTATGTCACCGCATTGTCATTAATTATGCCTTTGTTTAGGCCTGGCTGTCACTTTTGTGGTTCAGCGGGCCAAAAAAAAAAACTATTCTCGAGTGCAAGAAAACATTTGAACGGGTTAAGAGCTAACCGAAAATCTAGGTAGTTGGGAACGAAGCGAACGCCTGATGCTTATGAATTTCTAATGTTGCGTCATTAATCAACCAGTCAAAAGGTGTTTTGATTTTGGCATACGTTCAAGGCAGCCCAAAAACAAACAATTGACACACACACACACACACACATTCACACACGCACTCACATGACATTGGGCCGCGGGGCAACTTCCACAAACTTGCAACATGCAATCGCTGAAAATGTTGTGCCTGCGAAACTAGAACACGAATGAGAACTTTTTTCGCAGTTTTTTTTGCCAATGTATGTTGGGCGCTTTGTTTGGCCAAGAAGAATGGGAGAACTCCAAAAAAAAAACAGAAAACTGAAAACTGAAAACGAACCTAAGGTCAGCTTTAATAGGTTCGAGGCACTGAGCCATTGAACTTGTTGGGTAGCACCTTGGCTTCGTTTCGGGTAGCTAGAGAGCTTGCATTAGCACATGCTATTAATTCTTCAGCGCTTGCATTGTTATAAGCCACTCAAGACAGTTCCCGGCAGACACCGTAGACGGACAGTTCGACAGTTCGAGTTGTTAACAAGATGCCAAGAGGCGAGTCGAGTGTGCCTAGCATCAAGATACCCTCTAGTCAGAGGCATATGGATTCATGCGACTGCTGTATTTACAGGGTATCAGCTGGGGGATCTCCTAGTTACGGCACGCACAAAATGCGTTAATTAACAGAAATATGCTGCGCCCACTTGGTAACTGCAGCCGAAGGAGAAACGCCCCACAGCAGCATTCAAATTGGCTGGCTATGTTTGGGCTCTACCCCTGCCTATATATGATGCTATAGACTATGCCTTCGGCTTATTATTTACGATTTTTCGCATAAATTTACGCGAACGCTCGTAAAACTGCGTGAAATACGACATTTTGAGTTCTGTGAAAGTGTAACACGAACGAGTCGAGCTGGGATTGCCAACTGCAACTGAGACTGAGACTGAGACTGAGACCTGGAGACCTCAACCTGGACATGGGCACAAGGCTGTTCGCCGATCGAAGCGTGTGTGAGCGCTAACTTACCATGAACAATAAGCCAGCATCTTTGTGATTTGTAGCTTTCAGCGTTAACCTGGCAACAATGTTGCTAATAGATGTTGCTAAGCTGCCGACACGCAGACACGCAGACACCCAAAGCCCTATGCAGCGAAAGCTCTGAAGTTCCTTTCGCTATGACTTGGCTGCCGAAAGCTTTAGCCGTCTGAGCTTTCACGCTCTGCTCTGTAAATAAAAATATTTGCAGAAGTGCAAGCCAAAAGCTCTTTACTTTCACTTAAATGAAGACATTTCAAGACATTCTGCTTCTTCTTCAAAGACCTTACTCCTTGGGTCTGTCTACCCAATCGAATCGCATGAAAATTTCCACTTCACTTTCGTCTGCTACTTCTTCATTATATTTTCATCTTTTTTTTGTGCGTTTTCCAATTAATCCGTATTTTTGAGTTTTTAAAAAAATCTATTATTTGCTGGTGCCTCTGGTAGAAATATATTTTGGTGTAAGTTAAGAATTCTAATGCTTAATCGTCCGCCAAGTCGCCCACCGTGAGTGTGGCTGGCGGCGCTGTGGCTGTGGCTGCGGTCACACTGAAAGGCAGACCGTGCTGCGTGGCCGAGGCCCAGCTGCGTCGTGGCAGAATGCGCCCGAAGTTGAAGTATTTCTGCCGCAACTTATCCTTTATTTCGTCCTCGTTCATTATGGCACTGGCCTCCCGAAAGTTTAGGAAAATTCGTCCCTTTTCATCCGTTTTGATGGGCAAAATTTCGGTGCAGACGTTGCGAGCCTTGAGCAGAAAGCCTTCCTCTTCCTGAGCAGTGCTGATGAGTGCCTGGCCATCGTCCTGGCACAGCTGATCCGCGGGCAGCACCACAACGGTGTCCAGACGCGAGTCCATTGATTGAGAGCGCGGCGGCTTGGCTATGGCCACATGATTCTTCTTTTTGCGCAGACAGAAGGGATCTCGGTCGCTGGCCTTGACATACTGCACCACTGGCCGATTGACGCCCCACTTGGGACGGTCGTCCATTTTGTTGGCATCCTTGTCCTTGCTGTGATTCTTCTTGTTCTTGTCCTTGTCTTTGTCCTTTGTCTTCGCCTTGAATGTGGTCGTTGTCGTCGTTGTGGTGGTTGTCGTTGTCTCGTGATCCTTCTCCGCTGCTGACTCCTGGGCAGGCTGCGTTTGTGTCTTCGATGTTTGCGTTGTGGTTGTGGTGGACACCTCGCGCTTCAGCAGCACCTTGTAGAAGTTGTCGTGGAATAGACAGAGATCGCAGTTGAGCGGCAGCTCCGTCTGAGTCTCCACATCCGCTTGCAGTGAGCCCCCACTGCGCTGCCTGCTCGCTGACTCGTTGGCTGGCCGAGGCGACTTTACGGGTATGAGCGCCAGCTTGTCCTGCTCGGCTGGCACTGGCGCAATGTTCACCTCCAGCGAATCGGGCGAGAAGCAGCCGCTGGCAGTCTCAAGAGCTGTGCGCCCCGACCGCGCCGTATGCAGCGGCTCCTCGTCCTCCTCCTCCTTTTCCGCCTGATAGCCATCCTCTGTGCAGATGGAAGTCTCTGTGCGCTGTGTCATGGTTGCCTTGGAGTAGCACTGCTCTGTGCTCGCCGGCGGCTTCACCTGCGGCTGCTGCATAAAGTAGGTGGCAATCTGCAGATTTCCTATGGCATTCTGTAGTCCAAATATGTCAGTGGTCACGGGCAACGGAATCAACGTGGCTGGCTGCATGAGCAGCGCCAAGTTTTCCTTCTCCTCGCCAGAATTTTTCGGCTTAACCTTGGCTTTCACAGCGGGCTCATTGGCTGCCTCTGGGGCTGGCTGCTTGATGGGCTTGGCTATGGTGCGGCGCAGATTGATGGGCGTGCCAATGAGCACTTTCTCCTCGGTGACCAGAGCTGGTTGCGTGGCTGCTGCTGCCTGTGGCGCCGCGGCGCGTGGCGTGTGGCTCTGCGTGTCCTCTTGATTCACGCCATTCTCCAACTGCTCCTTCACAGCGCCTTCCTCTTCCTCTTCCACGGAGAGCACCTGCAGCAGCTCTGGCTTTTCGGACTGCTCCTGACTCTGACTTCGCTCACGATTTTTACGTTTCTTTTGCTTCTCTATTTTGGCCGCAACCTCCGCCTTGGCAATGGCATCCAGCATCACCTGCTGCTTCTTCCTCTGCGCCTCTTCGCGCTCCTGCATCTGATGCCGCTCGTACTCCAGTCGCTCCTGCTCCAGTTGCTTTTGCCGTCGCATACGCTGCTCCTCCAGCTGCTCCTCCTGCCTATGGCGCTCCTGCTCCCACTTGCGTATGAGCTCGCGCTCGTGCAGCTGCTTCTTGATCGCGTTATGGTACTCCGCGGCCTTCCGCCGCTTGTCCATGCGCTCGGCCAGCGTCTGTGCGTCGAGAGGCGCATTCTGGCCGCGCAGATAGGTTGAGGAGGATTGCACCGACTGCGCATCGTCCTCGCTGTCCTTGAGATCGTGCACGCCGCGATTTAGCCAGCCCGGCGCTGGCACCGCCACCTGCTGCTGCACGTTGTAGTTGGCCCAGCGGGCGCGCTCACGATCCCGCTCGTGCACATAGTAGTCGCCCTGCTCGGAGGCATTGCTGATGTGCACCTGGTACGTGTTCGATGTGGATACATCGCGACTGAGGCTCATGTTCGAGGACGTGGACGGAGCTGGCAAATAGCAACAGCTGTTCAAGTGGAGAGAGCCATTAGCTTCCATTTGAACTTAGTTACACTTAAGATGTGGCTTACTCACCCGTCTGCCAGGTAGCCATCGGCTGCCAACGGCTCATAGCTGTGGCGCTGTGCGGGCCCGCGACGCGAGGGCTTGGATGCTTGGGCGCCCACTGTGGGCGTGGGCGTGGGCAGGGTCTGGGGCATGGGCATTTGCATGGGTATGGCTGGCGCCTGTATCGATCGCCTCAAACGTCTTGTGTTGCCAACGCTCTCCTCGGCCTGGCTGGCGCTGCCCATGCCACTAATGCTCCCATTTTGACTGGCTGCGTCGTTATACCAAATGTCGGGCGTGTGTGTGTTCTTGGGCGTATCGCTCAGATAGCCAGAAGTGTCCTCTTCCTGGCAACCGGCTGGCGCTTGGCTCGCATTCGGATTGTTTAATCGATGTGGCATGTTAGCGTTGCCGGGATCAATGTTTGTTCCCTTCACGTTGCCATTGACTTGGCCAAGTTGATTGGCCGCTTTTAGCTGCTGCTGCTGCTGCTGCTGCTGCTGTTGGTCGTGCTGCCTTCTTCCCGCATACTCCCGCTGCCTGATTGTGGGCAAGCTGGGACTTCTTAGCCTCTGCTGCTGCTGCTGGGGATGTTGCATGCGGCCCTTGGCCGTTTGCAACGAAGTGGGCACCAGCTCCACGTAGCGTCCAGGCGGCGCCTGCAGCTGCAGTGGCCGCTCGGACATGCCAGGCGCATAGCTGCCTCGTCGCTGTCGTCTGTACAGCAATTCATCATCCTCAAAGTCCGCATCGGCGTCCACGTCCAGCTCGTCTATGTAGCGCTCCACTTGATTCATATAGTCCTCGCTGCGTTGCCGCTGCACTTGGCGATAGTCCGCGGCGGGCTGTGGACGCACAATCAGCTGCATGGGCTGCGCGGGCGGCTGGCGGGCATGGCTGGAGGTCTGATTCGATGAGGTTTGACTGAGATCCAGATTGGAGTAGTAGGTGCGTATGGAGGTGCGTTCAATCTTATGGTGCGACGTCGATGAAGTGTGCTGATGATGGTACATCTCATCCATGCGCGCGATTTCCTCTGCAAATAGAAGAAGAGTATAACACTTAAGAGCTGCTATCATTTCGGACACGCTGCACCCACCTCGCTCTTTAGCCCATTGCTGCTTCTTTAAGTCCAACAACCTATGCGTTTGTCTTGCTTCCGGACCCGTAATCATGTCTATTCACTTAGTTCATTGCACCTGACAACTGACAACTGAGGTCAGCCACTTAGACACACACACAATTGACGTCACGGCACACCACACTTGAGATGGACACCACCACGGGGCAAGGCTAAGGCAAACACTAAATGCGAGCAACTCAACGAAATTCCATCAAACTCGCGACACTGAAGCAAAATTCGATTTGTTTTGCATTGGAATGCCCAGCAAAACGTCGCCCTGGCAACGTGGCACGTGTAAACAAACGGCAAAAATGTCATGGGCAGGTCGAGGATAGTTGGATACCCTTTCTATATATTTCTTTGCTACTTGAAGTCAAAGAAAATTCAGTTGAAATTAATGAAGTCAGCTATAGTAATTCAACTCTCCTCCCTTCCAAGGGGAGCATAAGGCATACTCCAGTGTCACCTCCGTTCCATATAGGCTGACAAAATCTGTATACCCCATGCAAGTGCATGGAATAACTTCCTCAATGACTGTGAGGGGCAAAAAGTCCTTGCACTCCACGCGCAGTGGGTTAATGCAGTCAGGAGCGCTTCGCGTGCGCATCGCCCATTGTCTGTTACTTTGGAAGGTTCGTACACCCCTAAAAATATACGAAAATGGCTTACACAAATAGACATTTGAATACATTAAAGGCTTTGAGACAATGGGCCAGCCCCGTTAACTGTTTATTGATTAGTGGGATTCGTTAGCTATGCAAATAAGTTCCTTGGGCAGCAACAAGTCAGGCAGGTTTGCTTTATCAACTGGATCAAAGAGTGGAGAGGCAAAATGCGTAGGTGTCAGATGCGGAACGTCCTTCGCTGTGCCTAAAGAATGCAACTCGATTAAGAAGGTACAACCTACCTACCTGAGAGTCTCTGATCTCTTACACGAAAAAAACTTTATTTCCCATGGTCAAATAGAAATGGCCAAAGATAAAAGGAAGAAATATCTCATAACCCATTTTCCATAAACATACATAAACCACAAAAGCCACAGCAAAAGTTAACCAGACTCATTGTTGTTGTTGTTTGTGTTGTTGTTGCTGTTGGGTCTGGTTTATACGCGTGGGCGTAGAAATCACTGCCAGTCAAAAGGTCATGTTATGATCTTGAGCGAACTATGTGTCTAAGTCCAACGATGACGCTGAGGAGCATGGGAGCCCAAGCTCGGCTCAAGCGACTGCAGTTGCTGCAACACAACACCAACAGCAACCGCAACAACAACAACAACAACAACGGAGATCAAAGACACAGAGCAAAAAGAGCAAAGCAAAACGGATCAGTGCAGAGCGAAACTGTGGATGCTACGGCAATCAAGAAATCCCACTTGATACAAGTGCATTTATAAGACATTATAATGAGTTTTTATAAACTTAAACAGGGTCGCTCGTCTTTGCCTTAGGGCGTCACTTAACTAGACTTGAACTTGGACAGGCTCTTGAATCGGGCACTGCGCAGCATTGATCATGGCTGAAGATGATAATTGCTAAGAGCTAGGTCAGCCAGTCAGTTGGGCAAGCGTTGCATATGTCACCAATGCGATCAGGTTATCCACTCTTAGCCGTAGAAAGTGATCAGCGATCAGTGTGACCAGTGATCAGCCTAAAAATGATCGTGTCTTATGGCAGCCATTTAGTCAGCAATTTTCATACATCTTGGCAAAAGATTTCACTTGGTGTCCGAGCGTTCGGGCCAATTGAACGATCAGCAATCATTCGATCGCTCTATCGGCCGATCGATCGATCGATCGATCGCTCGCTCGCTCGCTCGCTCGTTCGATGTATCATTTAGTGTATAACCTCAATACGGCGATCAATAAACAAACAAGCCAAATGCCTAATAATTGTAATTTACCATATTTTTGTCGACTATATGACGATCATAGACGAACCAAACACGATCGTTGCCCCATGGCAGTGGGAGTGGGAGTGGAAGTGGGTTGTGCAAGTGGAACTGGGAGCGAGTGGAACGTTTAAATGGCAGGGCAGCTCTCTCACAAGCCACAGAGCCAACACTCACGGCTTCGATGGGCAATACATATTGATCAAAATTGATGATGTTGACACGAACTTTGAACGAGCTCCAAACAAGCGATGATGACTCTACGATCAGCAAGCAGTGTCTACGTCGACTGCTCCACTCCACCTGCGTCTTCTTCTTCGATTTTAACTGTTTTCAAGGGTTTCTTGCCGATATTTCGAATGTTGAACGATTTCCCAAGTGTTTTTCGATCGAGCGCAACAATAACTTTATAAATTTTCAAGTGAGAGTATCACACAATTGATACATACACTTAGCAGCAAGACTTGGGCATCGTCTGCAAGTGAAGCTAATTGTAGACTCGGCTCGCTTGGCTCTTCAACTCCATTTGACATTTGTTGCTTGAGTTTTTGTTTTCTTAAACAAACAACAGGTTCAAGTGTTTCTCATGTTGTTGCTGAAGCATTTAATTGTTCGGATGACACTTTTGGCTTTTATCTATGCAACAGAATTTCTGGGGCCATACAAATTTGTTGCTTTTTTGCGTGTTGCAATCGAAGCGCGTTCTCTTCGTAACTTTCAATTAATGTAGTTAGATCTCAGACCTGGCGTCGTCGTCTCCATCATTGCCAAAAATGGTTAGCCAGACAAAACGTTCCGAGACGGCCACAACAACAGCGACAACAAGCAATCTGACCAACTGTCTGCTGGTCACATTGTAGCGCCAACACTCGCCAACAACTGTCAGGTGTTTAGATGTCTGCCTCAGATCTCTCTCTCTCTCGCTCTCTGCCTCACTCCATCGCAGTCTAGCGCCACGAGTCGCGTTAGTCTAAGACTTAAATGGAGGCCTTACACTTAGGCAAGCAGCTTGTAATTCTAAAAGAATAGATTCTGAAAGGTTTAGACTGATGTTATATGAGTGCGAAAAGGAAAAGGAGGAGGTGGAGGAAAAGGATAGTCAAGGGGCTTGGCTAAAAAAATTAAAATAATCTTCTTTATATGATAAAAAAAATGTGGTAATGAAGTAAATGTTGAGTTCAGATGGAATAAGAACTTAAGTAGGAAAAATTGTCTTTCTTTTCATAAGAGAAATATCTAGGAATTGACTCGAAGTATAGTAAAGGACATGATCTAAATACCACTTAAGCATTGCTTCTTGAACTTCTTAGCTTGATTCTATAAATCGAGCTTTCCCTTTCGTAACTTTGCACTAAACTTAAGTTCAGAAATTATGCGAAATTTGGAGTCAAATTCTATGGAATTTCTTCAGACCTTTCCATGCGAGATAGGCACTTCAATAATATGTTATTTAGGTCGACCAATTTCATTGCTTTAAGATATGATCACACAGAGTCTGAATATATACCATATATACCAAGTTGATGAATATTTATTTAGATTATTTTAAATGCTTTGATCGCAATACTCTTGACTAACCATTTGAATCACATATTAATGACACTTCTCAACTACGCTTTCCATCTGCATATAATACTCTTAATATAATAACTCTCTTAAGCAACATTTTGTGTTTAAGTGCAACTGGAGTTCGGTTCAAAGCTGTTGAGTCAAGTTGCGCCCGTTGCAGCTTGTAATTGTTGCCACTCGTCGTTGTCGCTGGTTGTTGTCGTTGATCGTCAGCGGGGCTGCTGCGGCTGTTGTCCTCTCTAGCTGACAACATGCTACACTTTGGTCACTATAATGAGCCGTAATTAGTGCTGATGTGTGGACAACTCAGATGCCTTGGCTAACTATTCGCCATGATAGGCCGCGTGTGAAAATTTGCGCGCTTTTTGATAATTGCGACAAAGAGCTGCGAGTGGTCTGACTAACTGATTGTTGTTGCTGGTGATCGTTGGCTGAGCTGCGGCTCGCTGACATGGCCATGCATCAACGTCGGTGTCGCAGACGTCTGGCTAAATGAAAGGAAAACTGATTAGCCTTGACAAGTTCAAATTGTTTGGCGTAGGGTAGGGATTGGAAACTCGATGAGTGAAAGCGTCTGGGGGGCCTGTGAATAAAATCTCTTTTCCCAAAAACCAAGTAAGACACACAAGCATAAAAAAAAAGAAAAACAAAATATCAAAATGTCCACTGATTGCCAACGCTTGTCGTACGGCCAGCCAGCCAGTCAGCCAGCTAGCCAGGCAGCCAGCCAGTTGGCTAACGGTTAATACAGTCCATCATTATCAGCCACCAACACCGCCTAGCAGTAAAAGAAATGCGTTGCAACAACAAGCAGAACAACTGCAACTGCAACAGCAACAGCAACAGAAACAGCTCTAAGGTCAGTTAGAGACCAAAAAATTGTTGTGCACACACACGGCGGCAGCCTAAAAAAATATTCTCACAAGGCTGCTTGGCTGAGCGGCTGGTTCTGCTGGCCGCAGTGCGCCGTCCGTTGGCCGTTGTCCGTGAAGTCTCAGGCTCAACCTCAGCCAGAGCCTGCAACATGAAACAGGTGTGGCACATCGCGTCTACAATGCGCATCGTAACTACACACACACCAGGCCACAGCCAAAAACTGGGAGGCTGCCCCAGCCGCTTTAGCCGGGCCATCTCTGCGGCTTGACTCCATCTGAAGCAGTAAGTGTGCACTGCGCGAAATATTATAGAAGCTTATGAAATTGTGTTGACTAACTGGGCAGCTAACAGAGTTCTTAAAGAGATATTTAGACTGTCTAACTCTTGATTTAAAGAGATGAAAAGAACTTATACAAATGCACAAAAAATATAATAAAATATTTATTAATAATATGTTTATTAACAATATATATATATTTATATTTTTAAACTCTTCTGAATTGACAAAAAAATATAAAAAAACTTAGCAAACTAAATGCAAAATAATATAAAATATAATTAAGTCTATTAAAAATTTGTTGATATGAGATATGATAAATTAAAATCATTAATAAAAATACACACAACGGCAAATGTTTAAATGATGCTAAAAAAAAATAATACAAAAACTAATTTAAGATATTTTTGTTGAAATTAATAAAGATAATTGAAACAAACAATATCCCAAAAAAAATCTGAATATATAAA